GTGGGCAGCTGCAAGGGCCCTTCCTGACAACAGGATGGGTGCCCTCTTGCAGGGTTTGGCCCATTTTAAGCAGGGGTTTTCCTGTCTGTTGCAGCCCTGTTGTATCTCATTTCCAGCGCTGTGTCTGCCCTTGGCATGGAAGGCCCTAGGCTGTTCCAGGGGACCAGTCCATGCCAGAAAGACATGAGCTGCCCTGCCAGCAAATTTGCAAGGCTGGCAAGGCATCACAGACACAGCTCTGGCAACCTCAGCTTCTTGGCCCAGCTTCTCCATTGCTTTTACATAGAAACGACCAGATCAAAAAGTCAGGCACACCCTCAGATGGCAGTTTCACCCCAAAGTCTTTTGCTCTTCCAGCCTGGTCACTCTCATGCCTGCTGCCTGGGACCTTACACAGCTCTCGCTCCCACCTTATGTTTCAGTCTAATCCTCGAGGTTATTTATTGCTGTAATTAGTTGATTGATTCCCCCATATGGAAACAGAAGTCATCCTAAGACTTTCACTTCAAAGGACTTTTATCAGACTTGTCACCAATAATTAAACCATCCCCACTCAAGCAGACTGCTTTTGATCAAGAATATGCAGCTCCCTCCTGTCGGTGGCCAGGGAAAGCCATGGTTTGATCTCAGTGCTGGCAGATGTCCTAGTGAACAAGAGAAGCTCGCTGTTATGCTTAGCAGCTTCTGCCTTTCAGACACAGGAAATAATCATTGACTCTTAGCTTGTAAGGATTTTTCATACACACTAGCAAAGTTAGAAGGCCACTGTCAGCTTTGAGTACAATGCCTTCCCTGTGGAGACTGCTGAGAGACTCAGTACTAACCTCACCTTACTGCTGCTCTGTTGTTTTTTTTGTACAATTCCAGGTATTAAGATGTTATATTATCTGCCATGGAATTATTTAACTGCGTGAAAATACTTTATTACTTCCCTTTTCTCATGCGATACAAGGACAAAAGGCACAACAGCCTCCCTTCTTCAAACATTTGCAGTGTCCATCTGCAGCAAACCATCCCATTTGTTTCCATCACAGTTCCTTAGTTCCAGGACAGCAAAAACATGCTCTCCTTCCCCCAACCCATGGGAAAGCAATTCAGCACCATAATGCAGCTGCTGGCAAAGGCGTCAGTTCATCTTGTCCATCCTCTTTGTAATATTTTAATGGTAAGTGTGGTTTTTTGTTGTTGTTGTTGTTGTTTGTTTGTATGTAGTTACAGTTAGAATAATATCCTAATATAAAAGTATAATTAAGAGAATGCTGTCTTGCATGTGCTGACTTATTTATACGCCAATATATAGGAGAGCTATCAGTGTTGCTGCATCATGCGTTCAGTTCTAGACAGCAACTCAGGCTATTTATATGGATATTACTGACTGGCATCTGTGTATTTTCAAATTCCCTGGTCTATGACACACCACTTTTAGCTTTGTACTTAGTTTTGCTGCAAAAAAGCCTCATGATCAGCTTGCCGAGCTCATGTGCAAGCCATTTGTTTTGGGTACGCCTCTGTTCCCATCCTGATACACAAGAGGAGGGAGCAGGGATAACATCATGTCCCACATATATGCCTACACTCAGTTATAGCTGTACTTACAAAAAAATAATACAAAAATACAAAAATCTGTCAGTAGAATTTTGCATTGGCATCCCATTGTGTTTTAGGTTGGAGGTGGAAGTTGAAGTAACTCAGCAGATGTTGCCAGATGCTGTAAAAGATGCATTTAAAGTCACCCTGAGGAGCTATGTAAGAAAAGACATGGGAGAATCACAGTTAGTGTTACACACATGCACGTGAACAGATTCATAAACTGAAATAGCCTTTTAACTGTTATCCAGGTTTAGCATTATAAGCAAGATCATTGTCTCCCCATCTTTATTGATATCTGCACCGTTTTCAGCAATGCTATAAATCCATTATTGCTGGGAACAGCTGCAGAGCAGACTGAGGAGGAAAGGAAATGAATACAGCTGATAATCCTGAACAATTACCTCCAAAATGGTCAGACCAGAGCCAGCACACCTTGGACTACATGAACCATCAGAAAATCTCTAGGCATCACTAAGACTTGAATGAAAAAGCAACTTCCCAAGGAAAATAAGATTATTTCACACAATCACCAGCTACCTTGCATTATCAGGCCATCACTGAACTTACGAGCTTCTGAAACAAGTTCTCTGATGGGGTGTACCCTTCTGTACATGAGCTCTATGCTCCTACCCCCCCACCCAAAGCTGGCAGACAACCCTACAGTCACAGTGGCCTGAGCTGAAACACTGACACAAGTCAGGGCTGTCAAAGAAGGGCTCTGCACCTACAGCCCAGGGAGAAGGAAAGGGAAACAGCTCATAGGATGAAGGAAGAGAATCTAGGGATTAAGTGAGAGAGCAGGCAGCCTGGCAGGAAAAGCTGTCCCTGGAAAGAACAATAGCATCATGTGCCATCTGGAGGATGAAGACAGAAATGAACAGGCTACATCTCCAGTTTCAGCAGTCAGCTTTCAGGTGGATATGTACCATAATCACAGCTGACATTAGAGCTGCCTTTAGCACACAGCCTGTTTTCCTTCTGATAATACACTTCCAGCATCAAAAACACTACAGGAAAAAAAGCTGCCAGTTAAAAACAAGTCTAGAAGTCCCTTACAGCTTCTTTAAAAATTCAGGATATGTGACTTCTTGTCCAGTCTGCCCTGCAACAAAACAAGGGCAGAAGCATGGCAGTGTGTGTGGGGAGCACTGTCTCTCTAGCACACAGCACTGTGCTTGCAATCTTGTGAGCACCGATGTTCCAGATAATCCAACTCTTTTCTGGTCACCTGGAAAGTCAGAGGTAAAATGTGAGTTAAAGTAACTTGCTTTTATCAAATCGGCCAGTCTGCCTTTCCTCAGTGAGGGGAGCTCATCTGTTAGCTTTGCTTCTGGCTGTTGGGGACGACATCTACTAGTCCAAAATGAAACATACTTGGAGTCAGAAGTTTCAATAGGATGTTTCCTCTGTTGTGTGACAAACTGAAAAGGAACTCTCTGAAGCAGTGCCACACAGACTGAAGAAAAGAAGCAAACTAACTTCTCTGGCAGAGAGATAGATCAGCACACCTATCTCAAAGGTGAGGTAAGCACCAATCTTTATTTTCTTCTCATTCTGCTGCTGGACTAAAGCACAGAACAGGACAGAAATGTTACGCTCTTCTCCTAGACCTCCATTTCTTTAGTCTCAAAGGAAGAAAAACAAACGGATGACAAGATGCAATACTGTAACACGACAGAAAGCACAACAATGACAAGCATTTGCAAAATCCTAGGCTGCAGCAAGTGAGAACTTGCTCAAATGCAGCAGCAGCCACACAGAAAGAAAAGAAGCGGATTGCCTTCAGAAAGCCTCAGGTACACAGGGACCTCCAGCAAGATGCCCTTGCCTCCAATGCCAACCCTTAGATGAGGTCTGGAAAGGAGCAGATCCTGGCCCCCCCCCCTTCTGGTCACTCAGGTACGTTGCATATACCTGAGTTCCCCTGGATTGGCCCTGCCTTCCAATTAGGTTCTCAATCACTGCTTCAAGCTGTGACTTAACATTTCCACTATACAAGACCAGGTATAAAACATGATTTCCAAATATACAAGCTCAACTCTACTCACCTGAACGGTGACGGTTGCTAACGGCTGGAAAGACTGAATTAACATCTACCTGCAAGAAACGTTTGTGAGGTCAGGCTGAAAAATCATGGAATTTCATTGTAGACACAAGATGGGGAAGAACTGTAGCACAGAACATTGCATATTAGACATAATTGGCTGAATTATTCCAACCAGTCACTGTGCAATGAGGCTGCACTAATGCTGTCCTTCCTTGGCTTAGCATGTGAGGATAAGAGACATATTCTGCCAGATGAAATTTCTGTCACTCAGTTATAAGTGAATAAATGTGAACAGTTTGTTAAAGAATTAGCAGATTGAGGATACCTTTAAATGGGCACGTTAGTCACAGTACCTTCTGTGGCAATTCACCACCTTTTAGAATCTGTACATGGCTGAAACAGTAGCAGTGGTATTTCCAAAGCTATGAGAATGCACCACTGAATAGATTTCCACGTGCCTCATGGTCTACAGGAGCAGCCAGAACAGTTTGAAATATTTGAACTTCAGTAGAGCAAACAAGAAGCCTACGTGATGCAAGGAAATAAGCGAGGAATTTTGCTCCCTAGGTCTCCATGAAGCACAGTGCCCATGGCAATGGAAGTCAGCTGCTACCGGTCCCGCATGGAAGATGCATCAACGCAGTTTCTCTCCTCCACAAGGCTTGCTGAGAGTGGTCAGACAAGCATCGTGTGCCTGGCACATGCACCCACTGGAAGATTACAGGATAATCATCTCACTCTTCACATCTCACCACAGTCATTTCAGAAAAAGCAGCACGGTTGCCATGTAGGGTCATACGATCTTACAGTAAGCGTCTGCACCCTGTGATGAACTGGAAAGATGCTGAGTGCCAGCACCACCCTTCAGGCATGTGATTTTCCTTGGGAGAGATTCAGATGACAACCAGGAATGGAGACTAAGAATTCTAACAGAACTGGACTTAGCTGAGATGTTTCGTGTGCACCTACAGTTGGGTCATTTGTAATCCTGTGCCTTTCTGGAAGTAACTGAGCGCTAGAAACACTGGCTCTCACCAAAGGTCATCTCTATGAATGGAAAACTTCTGATGGAGTTTAGATGAAGGCTTTGTTCCTTTACATGGTACCAAACTCTTTGTTCAGAGAAAGGTCAGGGTCCTGATCCTGCCAATTAAATCTTAGTGACAGAGTTTAGTGACCTGTTGACTTGTTTAGGGAGCTGTTTGGCTTTGAAAATGATGCACATACAACTCAAACACCACCTCAGAGGTTTTTCACTCACTTTCTTTACCAACTCTAAAGCCTTTCTAAATGCAATACAGGTATCTTGGCAAACTAGTTTTCTTTCAAAAGAAAATGAAAAAATGACAGAAAGTGCTCCAGATGATGCTTTTTAATCGTTACTTTTATATTTTTAAAAACAAATCAAATTTTAAAAAACCAACATTTTAGACATGTGCTGAAATTTCCTGTACAACAAATATGAAAACAATAAAATTTGTACATCATTTCAAGATATTTAACTAACAGTCACTTATTTGAAACACATCAACTTTTCCCTTCTTAAGCAAGCCCCAAATGGGAAAAAGGCTGAAAAAGAAATGCAGGAGATGCAATTACCACGCAGTGGAACTTTGAGCCTGGAAAGTGAATAGGTTTAGATAAGCAACAGCAGGAGAAAACACTGGGTGAAGAGACAGATCACAGCAATTGCAACACAGAGAACTTCAGAATGCGGTGAAAAAAAATCTGCAGGAATTCAAGTCTTGGCCAACAGGGATCCACAAGAGATCCCTAATAGAGGATTTCCTGCAATCCTGTTCTTCCCACAGACATATGCTATGAGGTGTTTCCAACTTACTCACATTGACAGTAAATCCAACTCTGTTTAAAACATTTTAAGCCTTACCAACTTTTTCCACTTATATTTGGGATCAGCAGGTCGTTTAGTTTCAACTTGAGTCCCTTGCAAGAACGATTCTCTTTCAGGAAAATAAATTAAATCACAGAATTGTTGAAGTGAATGCCATTGCATTAAAAATGGATACCCCTTAGATGATGACAAGTGAAATTTTGGCACCTGTTTCCAACATCAAAACAATGGGTTAGATACTTCTATTTTCTGCAAGACTATATGGGTGGCGGCTAGGCAGAAACACTTCCTATTCTAGTTAGTTTTCATAGGTTCCACTGCAACATAATACAAAGGCAGGATACAAACTAGGATTCATCTCCCCCCTCTTCTACGCTGTATAAAAGAGGGGTCTTCTGAAGCAGCAGACAAGCTCCTGGAGATGAGGAATAATGAATACTGACTCTGTGCTCTGCACAGATGTGTACTATTTAGAAGACAGAAATAAATAAAGTAACTGCAAGGGGCAGACTTTCTGCCTTCCCAGTTCCTTTGGAATGGTTCTTTTTGGTCCCAGTGGCTTATTTGTCATGTGAGCTCTATGAGATCCACTATGTGGAACACCATTTTGGGTGGGGTTAGGCAGGATCACTAACCTCATGGATCTGGCTTGTTTTTGTGGGTATTTATGTGTGCGTGTTGATTTAAAAAAAGAAAAAAAAAGAAAAAAAAGAAAGAAAAAAAAAATTCAAGAATCCACAAGCAGCTGCTATGAGAAAAAAAGCTGAAGCACTTTGTGGTTGGTCCTCCAGATTTGCTCGCACAACATACCACAGTTTCACACTGTTGTCGAGCTCCTCTGGTTTCCTGTAACATTACAGCTCTGCACCAGGAATTCCTAGATTTTCCTGAATTCTAAGTATAGGAGCTATTTCTGACGACTCTGCCAAAAACTAAGAAAGAAAGAAAGAAACAAACAAAAAAAAAGCAGCAGAATTCCAGGGACTCTGGTTATTAAACCCTTCACAAGATTTTCACCGCTTGATAGCTCTTCTATAGCGCTATTCCAAAACTTCATATTCCTTTGCGATGCAAACAGTGCAATGATCCAAAGGTCAAAAAAAACCTACATGCCCTCCAAAGTACTTCAGAAGTCCTTCATTGGTAATGCCTTCATAAGTCTAGCAGTCATGTACCAGCAAAATAAATCTCATCAAATCCTTGGCTTGCAAAATCAGCAACTCTGGGGTTTCCGCACGTTTGTTCTGTTTTTAAAAGGACCAGTTAAAATAACAGCAGCAGTACATTGCAAACAACTATAAAACAATTACATTGTATTAATGAGATGCAGGTGGGTAAGATGTGCTTCAGTTCTGAATGGCTAAAACAAGCAAGAAATTGGTCTTTACAGCAGAATTTTGTGCAATTCATTTTGGTAGTATCAGTAAAGCCAGTCAATCTGTTTGGGAGCGCTTGGACACTTGGAAACTTAGTTCAGCATTTTCACAGATTTATACATCTGAGGAAAAACAACAACAATGATAAAAAGACACGAACCTGAGTAAAACTCTATTAGAATAGAGCAATCATTATTCAGTAAATCATATATTGCACCTTTAAATAAATCATCATTGTATAAAAACAGGAATATCAACCAGGAACAGGGAGGAGCTATTCTGTCCTTCATACACACCCACACACACCCCTGCACACACATCCATGTACACACTTGCTCAGTTTTTCACTACACTTAAAGCTCTGAGTGACACATCACACTCCTCTTCCTCTAGCAGAGGCACCGAAACATTAAGGCAGGGGATATTTGTGGTGAAACGCAAAAACAAAGCTCACCTCCAAACTTCTGGAGAGTCCTGCCAACAGTGCAACTACAGTTAAGTTTGACATAAGCCTTATTTAAAAATCTGTGTTCTCATTTCAAGAGTTTCAGTACAAAAATAGAATCTCTGCTGTTTGTTTGTTTTGTTTTTTTTTTTCTAGAGTAGCAACTAGAAAAGGCACAATTTCCAAGTACAAATGTCCATTTGGAGGAGGTGTTTGTACTCCTTTTTTAAATAAAAAGGAAAATTCAGAAAAAAAAATAAATCACAGAGGCACATATCTATTAGCTAGGTAACCAGATACAGCAGATAAAATATGTTCCCAAAACTTATAATTAAATATATTAAAACAGCCCACAAGCCTGTTGTCTGTAAATGAAATCATATAAAATTGTAATAAAAAGCTTGTGTTATTATTTTAATATTTAAATTCTAGTTCCTTGTTTGTACTGCAAATGCTATTTCACCTATCAGTACTGTTAAATTCCCAAGAAAAAAATCAGAATTCCTCTGTTAACTTTAAATAGTTTTTCTTTTTTATCGATCCATGGCTCCTGCCAGTATTGTCTTTTTTTTTCCTCCAGAAGATCACTTCTTCATATGAGGACAGAACTGGAGAAACCAGACACGAGACACTGCACACAATCCTGGAAAATGTAAGAACATCTCCCTTTCTCATGCACAGACAGCAATTCCTGGAGACTGCGTTGTGTCCTGGTTATGCATGATAGCCATTAGCCTTCCCAAAAGCTGGTCCAGGTGTGAAATTTTCATAGATTGCCATTGCTGTTGTGTTTTGATAAATAAGGTCTGTTTTCTTCTCTTTCTGTGATCTAATAATATCCATGACGCACTGGTTTAGGAAGACATACTGGTCCTATGGGAGAAAAGTAATAAAGAGAATAATACAATTCTAGCAAATGACTGATTTGGAAAGTAATCCTGCTGCTGAATCTAAGTTTTGCTTTTTGGATGCATTGCACTGGAGGTTATCACACAGTTTGTTTTTGAAAGGTATATTACACAGGAAATGGAGCTAGAAAGGATCTCATGATACTATCTAAGCAACCCCTAGTAAAAAAAACACTAGGATTGTATTCACTGCCTCTCTTAACATCTCATTAAAAGATTTTCACAAAGATTTTACAGACTTTTCCAAATCAACTTGAGTTAATCCACACACGTTTTCAGATGAAAGCAGTAGTTCCAACAGGAACACGTATGTTCCTGAAGAACAAAAAAGATGCATGCAAAGACCTCTTGACTTAAAGTTATCCTCATAGCTACAGGCCAGAATTAAACTCAAAAAAGCAGAACAAGCTGGAAAAAATCTTTTTCAAGATATGATTCTATCTAAAAATGCCAATCCTTCAAACTGCCCTGTAATGAGATTGCTTAGATCTACAAACTTCAGTACAACTCTCTTGGCTGCAAGGACTTTTGTAGAAAGAAATGAGGCAGATAGGAGAGAAGTTTAAATAAGGGCGATTTCAGATTGCCCCACAATGTCTCATCATCCTGTAGTTTTGAGCTACAATCTTGAGTCTACCTTTTCTGGACAGATGTGCCTATTTGAGAAACAGGATGCTGGATAAAAAGTAGTCTTACCTCGGTTTGCACCATTAGAGGTCGGTGCATTCGAAGATCATACACCACTCCATACACATCCACAGTATTCTCCATTTCAATCTGCTGAATCAGGCGGTCAATGGCAATAAATGTTCCTGTCCTCCCCACACCAGCACTGCAAGGACACAGAGAAGTTATTTACTGCTTTCTCTCAACTACCAGCTCACCTGTGGTCTGATGAAAAGCAAATGAAGTTAGCAAAATGTTCTCTGTTATTTCAATGGCACAAGTGTCCAAGTCTGTGTGGACTGTGTGGACTGCTCAGTCCAGAGAGATGGTCTTTACCATGACCAAGAGGGGAGGAGGGACATCCTTCTGGGCTTCCAAGCTGGCAACTTGCACAAGATCACGTATAAAAGCACTTGAAAAGGCAACTCTTTCACCTAAATTTCCCAGGCTAGGAAAGAGAGCCCATTCTAATGAAATTTCACACTGGGTCATTGCTATCTACATAAGCCACTCTGAAAGTAATGCCTCCTATTTATTTCCATTGAAACAACAACAACAGATACAAAGAGCATAATAACAGTATTTGATAGAGCAAATTATCAGCTCCTATTCTTCAACACAGCCATCACTATTAGCTATGCATTTCCACCAGTGATGAAGTAGAGCCTCCACACCACACTTGTAAAAATTTGCACCGGCAAAGAAGTGACCTACTGTCACCATCAGCACTGCTGAAATGCACCATCTGTTGCCTCACTGTGCTGATGTCCAATGGGTGGTCTCCATAAGCATTTAGTAAGCTTTAGTGAAACTCAGTGGGTGTCATTTTTTCTGCATGGAGGAATTCAATTCCACACTTTTGCTTCAACTGCACTTCAGTGTCAGATGCCATTTTGTCAGACTGCCCCTTTACTGCCACCTGTCACACAGCAATAAAATGTAATGGAATATAGGTGGGAAGGTTCAGCCTCTATTGCCATACCACCAACATTTGTCTCTGATGCTGTGGCCCAACATCATAAAATACGAGGCATTACTTTCAGAGCAGCCACCACACTTAACGCTGCCATGTTTCCGAGGCATGACACAAATGTTCCAAATCAGCAGGGTGAGTATCCTTAAACAGCAGAGACTTGACACATTTATTTCAAATCACCCTGAAAAAGAACTGTTCTTAAAACTCCACACAACGAAAGCATGTCTAACATGAATACGTTCTTCCTACCTGCAGTGCACTAGAATAGGAGAGTCAATAGGATTCTGACTGCTGTATTCATGAACAAGATGTCTAAAGTTGATTAGCAGGTCTGTTGTCTCTGGCACTCCATGATCTGGCCAGGATGTAAAATGGAACTGACGCACTGTGTGGCTCTCCAGTGTGTCAGCCTAGAGGAACAAGAATGAAAAAAGGAAAACAGAAGTGCTTCAAAAGATAAACAGTAACACTTCCTGTCATAAGTACTATGCAAGACTTGGTTGCATTAAAATTGCCCATTACAAATTGTGCAGTAATTTTATCTACGTCATTCCAATTCCTCTCTTCCTTCCATTTTAGTAGAGAATACTTTGCAATAATTTCATGTTCCCTTTACTCCAAGATCTTCTCTTCTGCATTACATTTGCTGGTGGAGATGGGTCTTGATAGAGCTAATTGTTTGGTCACATTGTTTGGGAAATATTTCAGGTATCTGCATAAAGCATGCATTTTGGGGTAAGTCTCAGGGAGCTGCAGGATCACTGATGTGGCAAGTGGTGACAACCAATAGCAGGCTGGATTTTGCAACTGCTCTTATTCTTTTCTCTCTGATAACTTCCATTTTGATTAAGTTTTTGTGAAATTATTATATTCTGTCACTCCAGTGTTGCTTGGCACGTGAAGCCCTTGATACAATAAACCACTTCTATAGATACTTGTATACAACTAACAACTGACAAACTACTCACGTTTTCTACATTGAAGTCCCTTATTGTCCATTCTGGAAGAACAACTTCCGAGACCATTGTCACAATAACATCACCATAACTCTTAGATTGTTTGTCTGGCCAATATTGCTCACATTTTGTCTAAGAAGAGAGTTTAAAGGTTCAACGCATTGCACAGAAAAATGAAGCATAGAGAAAAAACAGCAAGACATGGCATGATAGTTTCCTGAGACTCCAACTTGGTCTTGACTATTGGATTTAGATAACATGCCCCTCTGAAGTGGGACTGGAAGGTACTTCACCCCTCCTAATGGCCTATCCCAAGGGAGAAGGAAAATCTACCATAATCATCCTTTAGAGAGAAGAACCCACCCTTAAAAATGAAGATCCCACAACCTACCCGAGACAATCTATTCTGGTCATCAGCAGGTATAAGGGAAAATAGATTTCAAAAAATGGGTTCATTTAATTCAGAAAACAAGCTTCCAGGAAGTGGATGCTTGTTTATAAGAGTAGCCACCCCCCAGCTTATTAGGGAAACAACTAAATTAGAAGAGATACAACTATTCATTTTAATATTAAAAAGAAAAGAACAAACCCAAACCAATCAACCAAAAAAAAAAAAAAAAGAAGAAATACCATACCCGGGCCTGCTCAACACATTTTGTCAACATGACAATAGAGTAGATATTCTTTTCCCAAATCATGCGCCAGAAGTCTTCTATAGTATTGGGTAAAGGGCCTTGTGCAGCAATAAATGCCTTCTTTGAGCTATATCCCTAGGAAGAAAAAAAGTATACATACACAAACCTTCACCAATGGGCCATTAAAAGCTGATGTTATACATCATATGATCTATTCAGCCCTCGTCACAAAAATAACGTGCATTTTTAACTTCAATCAATGAAGCAACTTACAGGCATATAGTTTGCATTAATATAATCATCAGTTGCACAGCTTGGATTTGAAAGTTTAACACGAGAAATATCATCTGCAGAGAGAAAAGGAAAATAAGATTATAAACACTGGAAACTTTTCAGCAAAATATTTCAGTTCTAACATGGTTTCTATATAGAAGGTGCTCTGGAACAACGTGCATTCTAACAACGAGAACGTTACTTTAGGAATCTAAAGTAGTGATAACTGAGAGGTTATAATGAATGTCTTCAGAAAAAAATATGTCTGGACAATTAAAAAATTCAGAATATTAAACAGATTCACTACAGTTTGAGTCACTACAGAAAAACAGGTAATTCCTCTCCCATGCCACTGCAGTCAAGGTTTTTCCTTAGAAGCACTGCTAAGTGCACTCACTGTTACCCTTGCAGCTTTTCCTCAACACTTTCCTTTGCTCGGATGCCTGCAGCTTGGCAGGGCTTAGGTTATTAGTTTTCAAAGCTGTCCAGCAGTATCTTAATATTTCTTATAACTCCAATAGATCTGGAGTGCAAGCTTCTCATAAATGAAATATGAAAATGAGATGATTAGAAGAGCAAGTTCTTTTAAAGAACATTTTTGAGGGAAAGCTCTTCAGCTGTCCTCGTCCAGTGACTTCATACAGGATGATCATACAAGGAAAAGAATAGCCTGAATTCATTTATTTAGACACTGGCAAAACTAATTCCTCTTCAAAACCTCTGGGATTAAAACCAAAATTAGCCAAACCCAAGGGTTTTCAACTAAAATCTCAACTAGTAGAAGACATAAAACCCAAGAGAGTAGCTCACATGGTAAGACATTGTTGTATCTATTTTTCCCTCTGTTCTCAGGAATTTCAGCAGCAAATTTGGGCTGATGAACACCAGCAGATTTGAGTTCCTATAGGGAAAGAAAAATTCATGAGCACCCAGTTCTGGTTTAGGAAACATAAAACACAACTGAAACAGACAAATACTTCAAACACTCTTTGTTGTAAAAGCGGCCATGTTAAACTGGACTAAATGATGACAAAAATCAGCTTTTTACAAACAGAGCAGGAGGGTGGCAGCAGCAAAGTTCACAGATAAGAGATTAATACAGAATGGAGGAGTAATAGCATGTTTAAAACCCAAAAGTGGACTTTAAGAACCCAGTAATAATTTGGAAAAATACACAACACCAGCATTAACTGATTCTAAGCCCAAGGCAAAGACCTCATTTAGCATGAGGTATGAAAGCATTACAGGGAGAAAGGGAGCAAGTTACATTATGAAAGGACCGAAGAAGAAAGCAAAATCTGGGAGGAGAGCAGGGTGGAGCACCAGCCTACAAGATACAATGAAAGGGACAGAATTTCATCTGAAAAGAGGGAGAATGGTAGTTTCAAGGGAGGAGAAAAGACAAAATTACGTAAGAGAAGTCCTGACAACACAAAATCCTTCAATGACAACACAAACAGTTGGTTACTGCCTTTTGCATTTCATAGCAATTGAGCTATCTTCATAGAAAAGGTGCTCCAGCCCTTGGACCATCTTTGTGGCCCTCCTCTGAACCCTCTTCAAAAGCTCCACACCCTTTCTGTGTGACTTGGACGCAGTACTCCATCTGCAGCCTCACGAGGACAGAAGAGAGGGAGACAATCACCTCCCTCACCTTGCTGGCCATCCCTCTCCTGATGGGACCCACGGTACCATTGGCCTTCCAGGCTGCAAGTGCATGCTGCTGGTTCATGTCAAGTCTGTCAACAACCAAGACCCCTAAGTCCTTGTCAGGGCTGCTCTCAAGGAGTTCTTCTCCCAGTTTGTATACATATCTGGGATTACCTCAACTCAAGTGCAAAACCTTGCACTTAGCTTTGCTGAACCTCACTAGGTTCACAAGGGCCCACCTTTCGAGTTCATCAGGGCCCTTCTGGATGGCATCCCCTCCTTCTGCTGTATCAACCACACTGCTCAGCTTGGTGTTGCCAGCAAACTTGCTGAGGGTGCACTATATCATCTATGTTACCGATAAAGATTGTGCATATTTTGATGATTATTATCTACTTCAACATATTATGTGTGGTCTGTCACACATAATCCATTAAAGAAGCTTGTTATTAGTAAAAGATGGGTCTTGTTGTATAGAAAAAAAAACGATGAAATAAAGTGGAGAGAAGTGAAATGACATTCCCACAGTGCAAACATCAGTAATGCGACTAGGGCAAGGGCTTTGGAGCTCTTGCCAAGAGTTTTGAGCAACAGGCCATGCTACAACTCAGAGGCAGATTTAATGGTTCAGGATGTGAAGTATTTATCATGCACTTCAACTAAACTTAAGAGCTGAATCAAGTAAGGGAATGCTATGCATGCAGCTGAATGATGTCTATAACAAGGGTCCCTTCTTCTCTTCCCCTTCAGTAAACATCACACACTACAAAGGGAAGATAATTTGCTTCCCAAAAATATTAGCCAAGAAGCTCTCCCCAGTGAGGACACACACCTCATACTCTTCAGCAAAACCACAGTTGGAGTCTGCTTGCTGCTTCTTAAAGTAGGACTCAAAGTTCTCTACTTTAATCATTTTTGATCTGAAATGAGAAAAGTCTTGTATTGGTGACTGATACTAAGTAAATAAGTCATGAATCCAGTGAATGTATTACAAAAATGGTTTACTTACTTCTTTATTCTTCAGGGGAGAGCGAGGCAGGGAAAGAAAAAAGGTTGATTAGACACATGCAGTTGTATATTTCACTATGTGATTCTAAGAACAAAGGCATGACTGTTAGTAGCACCCACCAAACTGCATTTACAGGAGACAGGATATAAAGGCAGAGCATTTAAATGATCAGTTCTGGCCGAGGAGAAAATGGTGCATCCTTCAGGAAAAGGATCTGATAGAAGGTGTCGGTCAGCTATGTGTGTATTCCCCTTCCATCAGATTGGCCTCATTCCCTGGTGTATTTTATTCTAACTATCAAAGTTACACTGGTGAAACTTACTGGGATGCTCAGGGTAGGTCTTTTCATAAAATAAACAGATGCATGAACCAACAACCTGGTTCAATTGCACTGCCCTGATTTGCAATATGTTGTGGTTACCCTCCCATGGCCAGCTACTACCATTACACATCATCTGAATCAGCTCAGCTCAAAGTAGCCATAAACTAAAGGAAAGTATGGGACACAGTGCAAATTTTTGCTTATAAGCCCTTTATCAACAGCTTGGACTGTTTTGTTTTCCCAGTGTGTTCAGAGGTTTGTGTTTCATGAAAACATTCTACTTTTCAAAACTACATGGGGTATTTGTGTAACTAATGCTGATTCATGAAGCAAGCATTAAGTTTTATCAATTTCATTATTTTCAGTCTGCAGGCTTGAGTCAGGTTTCATGCAAAATCACACATGAAACTGCACAGAAAACAAGCATTAGGGTACACAGGAAGTTTTGCATGTATTACTTGAGCTCAAAAAACATTTAAAAAGACTTACTTAATTGGAGAAAAAGACACTTCAGTATTTCTTTTATCTTTCCTATGAGAAGAGAAAAACACAACATGCTCATAGGAGAATTTAAAGGAAAGCATATGAGATTTCTGGTGATATATTTCATGTGTCTGCTCAGAACTGTGTCTTGTAAGGCATCTCACTCTGCACAAAATACTCCTGAGGCAAACCTTACACCTGCTGTGAAATTAAAATACCTTGTAATTCTTTCACCAATGTTTTACAATGGAACTGTATCTTTTTGCTGGAACCAGAGCAAAATACCTGAACACAAAGCACAGGTTTGCTGAAAAAAGTGCATCCAAGGGATTTGCATCATCACCATCTCTCTTGAATCCCTACTCCTCCCAGAACCCCTAACATTAATGTTCAATAGTGATGTATCAGTTGTACTGAAGGTGGAAGTTGGAAAAAAAATACATGTGCCATAGCTACTGGACACAGGGAAACCTGTCCTAACAACAACTATGTGCAGAAACTAAGAAAAAATGGCCTAAAGACCCTACAGGTAACTCTTTAGAAGGGATGCATCACACAGACAGCAGCAGGAAAAAGCCTCTGTAGAATCTGGGAGACCAGTTCAAACCTTAAGACAAATAATCAGCTTTTGGAAACTCCAGAATTAGAAGTTCAAGCAACAAACAAACAAGGTTTGTTACTGAATATTTTCTAATAAAACCACCTATGATACAATTATATAATGTCTGTTAGCACAACAATCTGATGTTTGCTCACTTCTAACTTCAGAAGCATGCACAAGTTCCCAAGAGCTAAACAAATCTGCTCTCAACTCATTGGACATAGCTATAGACTGAACAAAGTAACTGATCTAATTTGATGCAAAAACTCTGATCTGTAACAAAAAAAGATTTTAAATAGAATGTACTTTAAATGGTGAAAGCAGATAAAACAGGAACAGAGGAAGAGAGGCCTTTTTTTTTTTTTTTAAGATACAGAAATGACATATTGATATTCCTCAACACAGCAAACAAAATAATGAACACTTTACCTTCTCCTCCTCCAGAATATGTAACCCCCTATAGCTACTACAGCCAATACAGCTAAAAGGCATCCAATAACGGCTCCAGCAATAACACCTTGTAAAAGAGAACAAGTATTACTCATCACTTATTTACCTCTTTGACGGTGCTCTAAATCAATCAACACACTATGAGAGAACCTAGCAAGTGACAAAAAACACTCTGCTCTACAAGGAACTTCTTCACTGTGTCCTTTGGCAGTACCAGTATTGAAAGCTCATTAAGAAATACTAAGAGAAAATTGATAAATTAATTAAAAAAATAAGTCAAGGGATCAGTATTTGTGTTCTGATACACCCACTTGTAATTTAACAGAATTGTTAGAAAAATAGTCTAAGTCACACAGTGTCATCACTGTGTGTGTTTTGCATGCCATAAGTAGCACAGGTTTTTGTTACTGCCATATTGAAAGTCATACTTGGATAAAAAAAGAAGCCACCTGTAGACTAGTTAGATATGATTTTACTGAGCAGTGACACTTCAAAACTAGAAAGGAACAGCCCAACACAGGCAGATCAATTAGTGTTTCGCTATCACAAAACCTATTGTAATTAAGCAATCTCCAAACACTGTGCACATGTAAAACTGCCAATCCTACATTAACTATACCTGGATCCTGGGGTAATGAAACCATGTTGGAACACGGTGAAAACGACACATAACTTTGTTCACCCATAATTTTGTTGGCCACAGTAAAGGTTATGTTAGTGAAACCTGCAACACTTGCCCTGTTAATAAGGGAGAAAAAAATAACACATACATGACATGGTTTTAATAGCCATAGGCAAGATCTATGATTTCTTCACTATCTTCTTTCTTTCAACAGCAGCAAGATAAATACCTGTACGAATGAAGAGGAATCAACGGTCCATTTTCATAGCCATACATGGTGTTTCCCTTGCCTACGTCGACAATGTTGTGCCCATTCTGAGAATTGAAAGATGTCATCTCCTCTACGTCTATGACATATGTCACATAGGTAGCTGTCATCTTCTGCTTGAAATCGCTGTATGTGTAGCTCAAATCAGACTTTGAAGGCAAACAACCTTCAGGAAAAACAAGGATATAAGTGGTACACATAACCCACTATTTTTGTGATCACCAGCACAGTTGGAGAACATGTCACATTAACCACAATTTTGATTGCTTCACAAGCACTGCCTGAAACAAAAAACTGAGGGCAACACACAGCCTCAGAAATTCCTTCTGCTGCAATGCAATTTACTTGGCTGCCTTTCCCTACTTTCTGGTGTCATTCATTTAATCCCCTTTTGGTTTTACTCCTCCCATGCACAGTAAAGCTTCTCTGTGAAGGCATGTTAGTGATGGATTCTGTGTATTTGTGGACAACTTCTGCTACGCACGTCAGTTATGTCCATACTCTATCAAATAAATATCAAATGTTGAGAATACTCCACAAATAAGTAAAAGGACAGAAAAAGCAATTTGAGCTTGATAACATCATGCTATTCAAACAGCACCAAGTTTAATTCAGGGTGATGATAAACTCATCCTGGCCTCTACTGTCTTGCTGTGTCTGACATAGTCTTTTCATCTAAACCCTGAGAAATGAAGGAGTTTTATGTTTTCTCTTACCATAGAGACAGATCAGATAAAACAATCAGTGAGCAAAACAGTTTCTCTTCAAAAAGACTCAGAAAAACAGGATAATGTAATCAAACAGTGATCAACAGGATACCAGTTGCAGAACAGCATCACTTTGTGCAGTGCCTGCTGTTAAAAGATGAACCCCAGAAATTTGAGGCAGATTCTATAGCTGGGATGTGTGATGTAAGTGATGACAGCACAGCTCAAACTACCAGTTGTCTGACAACTCAAGAGTAAACAAAATGACTAAAAATATTCCAAGTGCTATGAAAAAACATCTTCCCCACATAATTGAAGTTCGCTTACATTGCTTTCTGTTGATTGCCTTTACAAAGCTAAAGCTCCTTTAGAAGCAGATACAGCACTGAATTCATCCTTAAAAAGGAGAAGTTGTAAAGGGGTTCTGAAAGATTACAAAGTGAAGAAGCAAGTTTTCTACCACTGCATAGATAAAATTTGATCTGACATGCACGGCAAGCAATAGCAAAGCTCCTAGTAATTGTTGCTGTGTAAGAACAACGCACAACATAGCTCTCTGAAAGCACTAATTTTTTCACAGTAAAAACAACTGAGATTGGAATTAACTTAGTCACCTAGAAATGAATATTCAGTAACACTGTAAATACTTTTGATGTCCTGTCTGGTTCCTAGTTCCATTCCTAAAGGATGTACATGGTTCCTAGCTTCTTTCCAAAAGGACATACAGCCCAAATTATATCTGCACTTCTCTGTGAATGTCTTGGTTATCACTCTAGGGTATCTTATCCATCTTATGCTTATACAAAAGAATGAACAGTCCCCTCTATTTATCCTAAAAGTAACAATGTCTGCTTTGAGACAGAGAAACACAATTCAAATGCATTAATACTATCCAAACACCAAAAAATGAAGTTACGTTTGAACTTAAGGATATTTTCTTCTCCTACCAAAGCACTGATTGGATTCCATAAACATGCAGAATCCTTCTTCCCTAATTCTCTCAAACAAATCTTCAAATTTCACTTACTTCTACTTTAAAGTCTAAAACATAGGATATTCACTATAGTAAATTTTTTGTCCTAATAAAGTGCTGTCTGATGAAGTTATTTCACACAGCTGGGAGACAATATTATAACAACTTACCTTCTGCTTCACTTATGATCATTACTGCATAAGCTTTTAATGGTCCATTCACTGACTCAAAGTCAGGAAACTCAACAGTCAGTGAGTTGTGACTGACTGCCTTGACTACAGGAGCTTCGTTTGGAACAGGTGGATCTATAAACAGACAAATATGCATATTCTTAGTACTTCAATGACAGACAAAGATAAGTTTTTCAAACAAGAAAATGTTCTTTTAATGACATTGTTCATAGCATGCATATAGAATCATTTAGGTTGGAAAAGACTGCTAAGATCATCAGCCCTAACCATTCATGTAACTATCAAATCCATCACCAAACCAAGGCCCTCATTGCAATGTTCACACATTTCTTAAACACCTCTAAGGACAGAAACTCCTCGCTTCCCTTGGAAGGCTGTTCCAAAGCCTAATCACCCTTTCCATTGAGAAATTCTCCCTGATACCAAACCTAAACCTCCCCTGGCACATCTTGAGGCTGTTTCCATGAATCCTATTACCTGTCACCTAAGAAAAGAGACCGACATCTTCCTCACTGCAGCCCTCTTTCTCCTCCAGACTAAACTGCACCATTTCCTCCAAATGTCTTGTTTTCAAATTAGGCCATTCTCCAGATCTGTTGTTCTTTTCTGAATGTATTCTGGCAACTCTTGTACTGAGGGGCTCCAAAGCCAAACACAGTATTCAAGATGCAAACTCACCAGTCTCTCTGTACTCAGCACTCCTGCTGACCATGCTGTTTTTGACACAGGCATGTATGCCATCAGTCTTCTGAGCCACCTGGGCATACTACTACTCCCATGCTATGTATTGCCCAGCTCTTCCAGGTCTTTTCTGCTAGTCTGCCTTCCAGCCACTCTTCTGCAAGTCTGTACTGCTGCACAGGGTTGTCGTGATGAAACTGCAGCACCCAGAACTTAGCCTTATTGAAGGCCATGTAACTGGATGTGGTCCCTCAATTTAATCTACCCAGATCCATCTGCAAAGCCTTTCTACCTGCCCAACTGACAACTTACCACAGGTGCACTCGATCTCATCAAGATCATCTACATAAAAATTACAAAAAACTACCCTTAATACTGTGACCTAGGGAATCCAACTTGTCACTAACAGGATTCACATTCACAATGACCTCCCAGGACTGGCCATCCAGCCTACTTTTTACCCAGCAGACAGTGCATCCATTCAAGCCATGCGCAGACAGATTTTCCAGGAGAACACTGTGAGAAATGGTATCAGATGCTTTGGAAAAGTCCAAGTAAACAACATCCACATCCTTTCCCTTGTCTACTATGCAGGTCATCTTATCACAGAAGGTAATCAGGCTAGACAAGCAGGACCTGTCTTTCATAAACTCATACTGACTGGGTTATGATAACCTTGTTATCCTATACATGCCGTGTGATGGTAATTGAGATGATCTGATTCATGAATTTCCCTGGTCATCACCCCTTATGGTGCATGAGATAGACTTGGCATTAATGTAATACTTTATCAATAAATGTATATGCTGATATATAAAGTTTCTTCTTCTGAAATAGCAAAGTTAATATTTTTGTCCTCAAAATATCTTCTGTTATCTGATCCTAATGCTTACCTGTAATGCTTGTATTACATATTATCTGCACTGGAAGACTTGTTAAACCTTCTGAAACAGTTGTAATATTAACAGTATAGGTTTTGTAATAATCTAAAGGTTCTGTTATGAAGCTTTCTTCTGAGCCTTCTCTCCCACAGAATTGACAGTGTTCATTTTTTGTCCAAGTATCATTAAATATTTCAATATCAAAGCCAGAGTAGTCGCCATAAGGACAGTCCCACTTCAGCATTAGGTAAGATGTATTAGCCACTGCTTCACACTGAAATGAACTCACTGAGGAAGGAACTGGGAAAAAAAAAAGAAGAAATCAAGTATAGTAGTAAAGAAAAAGTAGACTGTTTATAAGCTCTTCTGTGTATAAGAATTTGTAAAACGTTGGTATTCCTTTCTAGTTCTAAACAGAGGAAGCTATTGCCTACAGAAAAACAGTGTGGATAAGGTGTGTTTAGCACACTGTAAATACACAGACCCCTTCTGCATTAACTCCCTGCAGATTAATTTACTGAGAAAAATGAAGTTGAATAGCTGTTCATCAAAGTCAGCAAAGCTTTCAAATACTGTTCAACGACTGAACAAGAATATTCTTAGACTTGTAAACAAATGCTAACTCTCTGTGTAATTACATAGAATGGTTAGTGGCCAACAAAATAAAAAAAATTGTCTTTGTTATTCATAGCACCCTCTGAGATTTACAGATAGCTCTTACAAAAACTTCAGCTGGTCATCTACCACTTGCAGCTCCAGAAACGGACAAATGTGCATACAAACAAAAGAACATGTGGTCAAAGGATGCAGATGTGCTACCATATAATGCTACACATGGCCTTACTGGATAGGCACGTTAGAGTGCTACGAACACTGTACATGTGGAAAGTGACTGTAGAGCAGATAAATAATGAAAGAGGAAATAACAGTGAATCCAAAGAACATGCTTAAGAGACTAAAAAGAACCACAATTGACCCCTCAAAACAGCTCCAGAACAAAGGAAGAGGGAGACCAAGAAGAGAGTTACAGCAGGAGCAGCAGCACTTTAGTCACTTTCCAAACAATACACTCTGTGCAAACACATCCCATGAAACTCATACCCACACTGACAGCAGGCAGGCAACATGCAGCACCTCTGCCTGTAACAATAACTCCGAGCTCATGCAGGTAGGCAGAATACAGGCAGAGCTGCTGCACAACTAAACACAACCCATCAGCAACACAACTGCAAGAAACAGCCACTTACTTGTATTTTGGCTTATAGATGCTCCTTCTCCTTCCGTCTGACCATCAGCTGCTATTGCAAAGACCGTGAAATTGTAAGAGGTCCCAGGGATTAAACTGGTTACAATACTTTCAGTGACTAATGACGTGGTCTCGTTAATTAGACTTTCATGCGCAACCTCTATCCTGTACGTGTAGGTGTCCGAAGCTGTGTCATTCACTGTCCAGGTTAAGTTGACAGAAGTCATAGCAACATATTCCGCCTTGAGACCAAACACTTTGCTGGGCTCTGAGAAAGGCAAGACAACAATCCATCAACCTGCAACAATATCTCCTCACAAATAAAAGAGGAGAAACACAAACACGCAGCTACATCACTTTCTTCACATCACTCATCAATCAGAGTGCTGGAGCACCAGAGGTTCATGGAGGCTTTGCCATCAATGGGCTTGTAAGAGGAAAAAGATGGAAGAGTCATCTTGAGTGGGATTCATCTCCTTCCTGCATTCAGAAGCAAGAGCAGCCGTGACTATTGTGCCAGTACTCCCACAGTTTCCCTTGGGAATGTGGAGAGGTGGGCAGGAAGGACAATGGTGTAGGGGAATGGGGCAAAAATAGTGCAT